GAGAAATTAAATCTCTGAATGCCTATAATCATCTTTTGTTTTGCTGTTTTTGCTTAAGATTAGTCTTGCATGTCAATTTGTTCATATGGCATGTTATGAAGTCTGATAAGAGAATGAAGTGGATTGAAATTTCCTTTTTTACAACAATAATATTATGAAAAGAACTATTCATCATTAGAAGAACTCCAAAACACTAATGATCTAATTAATATTCATCTTCCCGACAAACACAACATCTGAGTAAAGTCTTTTACTCAGTAATCATTGGCTTTAGGATAGATATCCTAGAGATTTAATAAGAAATTATCCCCGGTGGGGTCTCGGCCATGTTTAGTAAGTGCTCATACTCACAGGTAACATTGGCCAGCCTTGGTACCATATCGCAAACTGACAGAAATGGAACTTTTTGACCCATTACAATCCAACTTAGTAGATTGGTATTAAGTGTACTTGACTCGTAATCTGAATGTCACGCGTACGATTCCTGATAACATCTCATGGGTATGCAATGCAGAAGACTCTCAAACGCCATTACCTATGCTATTCTTCCTGGTTTACAATGTCCCACTAACTGATTTGTATTTGTAATGGAATCTACAGGGAAATTAATCAGACCCTTACAAAGCCAATATCAGAATTACTACTGTATTTGGAAGTGATATTGCTAATTGTTTTTGTTTTTTTTACTGAAAATTAACCATAATTGTGTATAAATTCCCGAATGAAACAGTCAGCATAGAAGTACAATATAAAACAACCTAAATTTTACAGACTAAATGAAAATGTGAAAAGGTTAAACAATCTGTGAAGTTTATGTTAATAGTTGGGAAGATTGAAAATCTGTTCAATAACTCCTATAACCATTGCATCTTTAATTTTATGATTTCAGTAATTTCCAAATTCCCCTTTTACGCATTTAGAAAAACAAGACAACATATTGAGCGAAGAAATATGCATTCCTTTTCAATTAGTTCCTCAACATCGGCTGGCTCTACACTAATATATAGTTTTCTGTATTAAAATTTTTACCAATCAAGTTGTGTTATTTTAGTTAATCAGTTTTAGGTATAGGAAGTGTGTGAAATTAAGAGGTTAAAAGTCATCAAACCAGTTAACTAATAGATGTTAGTAACAAGATATCTAAGTTTTGAAGGAGCGGTGAAAATTAATTACGGGATTCAAGGTAAGTTAATTCATAGGAATTAGAAACAAGGTATTACACAATCAAAAAATTTGTAAAATAATGATGACTCAGAAGAATTGCGTAGAATACAAACAACTTAATAGAATTAGCTAGAATTTTAAGAGATAACAAATTCAAAAGATAGTTACAAGGGGAGAGGAAAAATCGTTTTCAAAAACTTAATACATATTATATGTAGTTGGCCATGGCAAAGAAACGGGCTGTACAAATATCTCTTGAACACACAAATTTGGCTTTTTCAAATGAATTCCGATTGCCTCTGCTGAATGTGTGTGAAAGTCGTACTCGTAGACCATGGGTGAGAGGTTGGTGATATCCGATAAATAACTTTAAAAGCTTTGTTAGAGTGAGTCGACTTGATGTCTAGTCAGTATCGACGAGATGCACTACTAGTATTGAGCTGTAAATAGCTTTATTCGGACCCTTGCCAAACCAAGATGGGAGGTGTTCAGAAATTCAACGATGAACCTGCTTTATCCTACGCCCAATGTAACTAGCTCCACACGGGAAGTTAAACTGGTAAATACACATGGAAGAGGCGATTCAGGGCAGTTTGTTTTTATTTCTTCAACCAAGTATTGGTTGGCTAGTGAATATACAGCATAACTTAGTTGCGTTGAAAGTCCTTATGAAGGTTTTTCTCAGACGTTATGATAAGATTTAAAATATATATATATATCAGCAACAGGGATCTCTGGGAGCGAACCAACAACAAGAACCAATTGTGAAAGAAATAGGCAGGAAGAAATGGAGGTGGATTGGCCATACTCTGAGGAAATCATCAAGTGACATCACTAGACAAGCCGTTGCTCGAATGGAACCCGAAAGGGAAGCGGCGAGTTGGTCGTCAGTGTGAGGGTGACATGCAGGAGGTCATGTGAAGAGGAGATGAAAGCATGTGGGCAGACGTGGAGCCAGGTGGAAACGTTAGCAGAGAACCGAACGCAATGGGGACGTACGACTGAAGCCCTATGTTCCTCTAGGAATTAAAGGAAACAATTATATATATATATATATATATATATATATATATGTATATATATATATGGTTTAACATTGTATGAACATAAAGTACAGCGAAGTCGATGAGTAGAACAGCTAATAACCTTATGACAGTTTAAACATCAGATGTTATAACGGCTAGATGCTAAATATCTTTACCTTTTGTAACTCTTTACTTTCTCATCTTAAACAAAACATTAACAAGGGCAAGATAAACTCACATCTGGGGGCTTGTAATCAAGACCATCCGACTACCTTATCATATTGACTATTCTTTAAACATTCAAGTTATCGAAAATATGTGTAATTTTTAAATGAATAATTCAAGACTTTAGAATTTACTGAAAGACACTGGATATGACCATTCGTCATATATAACTTGTTCAAGTAATCTGATTAACTTAGGTCCTCCATTGTCTTTTAATCTGTATTTCAAGATATTCTGCTATTCATAAAATCGTTCACTTGAGACTAATTATTTCACTATGTATTTTGATCTAGTTAACATCAGTTTGATCACTGGTGAAACACTCGCCAACCACAAACATGGTCCGGAATTCAAATCCCACCGCCGACGCACTCCTAAACCTCGCTTAGTCGGTAGAATGCCAAATAAATAGGGAAGGTTGGGAGTGAAGCTAGCAGCTCCCACCCTGTGAAAAATAAACACCACTGCTACTGAAACTTGAAGTCCATGTCCCACTCGGAACTTAAAGGAATACAAAAGAAACGTAAAGTAGATGTACTCCGCTGTTCGTTGAAACTAAGTAGAAGATGTGTAGTTGAAGTGGATGTCTTTTGAAGCTGTTACATTCTTTGAGATGGTTTAATTACTTTTCATTTTACTAAAACTTCACAATTAAAGCCTACAACTCAAGAAATGTAATATCACCTCTCTGTCTCTCTCCTATTGTCAAATAATTATTACTAGCACTATTAGAAGCTTCAAGGAGAGCAATATTTGTTCTAGCTTTTAAGATTATGAAAAAGAGTGTTGAATGAGTGTGTACTTATTGTATGTGTATATACGTGTCCTCATTTATATGCTGCATGAAATGAAGTATACATTTTACAGGCATCGCTGGTAAGTGTAGCTAACTTGAGAAATAAGTACTTCGTGTATGTCTGTCTGTTTTCGACATAGAACTTTGCACAGATGTGCGGCAGTTCAAGTCGCCACACTCCCTCTTTGTAGCACACACAGCAAGAGAAGAAAGTAGAAGAAATGCATAATATAGACAGTAAACAGAGGTGTGAGACAAAGGACTACTAATAACGAAGAACAAAACAGTTTCATTGGAAATCATAAGTCACAAGGAGTGGATGCATCTGCGCCAACCATTGAGAACAATTTTGAGCCATGTCACCAAATGTTTCCAACCATTGGTTTTTACCGTCCCGAAGACCCCAACCAGTCAGGAATTCTACATCTTCCTACGTGGCCTGGACTAACTGTTGTGGATTTCATTGACTGGTGAAGCCATGTTTTGGTTTGACCGCCGCTAGCTCTTTTCCAGCCTGACCCTATATCAGGTAACATTGCCCGTCAAGGAAGGGGATGACTAGGCATATGTAACACATGTCCTAACCATCTCAGTCGATGTAATTTCATAGCTTCGTCGATTGACTTCCCCTCCTTACCTAGCACTCGACCGGTACCTAACCTCAATATTGCTCACTTTATTATACCACTTCATACGGGAGATGAATATAATGAACGTGTATAGAATGAATGAAGGTCATACAATCAATGCAGAGTATGTGTTAATGCTATACAAGTGATTTAACTTGAAAATAATCAAATCCCTGTAAACCAACACTCACTCACTTCAGGAAGAAGTTGCCTAGAATTCCTAGTGAGAAATTCTAACCAGTGGCGTTCCACCAAGTTGGATGATGAAAACAAATATTCGCTGACGACATATTACTTAGCGATGGCACTATATATCGCAAATTAACGAAAGTTAGACATTTCATCGGCCAATCATTGAACCCCATACCACTGACTAAATAAATAGTCTATGAGGTCGCCTCGTAACATGAAGATCCTATTGGGTTCGAACCCCAGTGGGTTATAGGGGTGTGTACTGCTAAAGAGTCCCAAACTATAAGAAGAAACAGCTGGTTTTCTAACTGATGTCAGCTTGTGACCTAAATTAAAACCAATGGGGTAGTTTATCTTCAATGATACATGCATTATCATTTTTATTCATAACATATACTATTACTTAATAGATATATTGAACATTTAATTAATTGACATTTACACTTATTTCTGTGCTTATTTTAAGGTATAATTTTAACCTAAATATCATAATACTAATAATATAATAATGTTTATTTCTTTTTGTATTTTCTGTTTGTATCTCTTTTTCCTACTAATATAATATATATGGTATATTTCCTCCATTTCCTCCGCCATTTTTATAACATTGAATATTGATAACTGTAATAATAATTCAATGTGTTCAATTTTTTTTAAAATAATGATAAAATATCATATGATTATCTCAATAATGTACACTTGATGATGGGTTTGGAAAAAATCAAATTTGATGATGTAATTAATATACACCTACACAAACATTCTCTCCTGTGTGTGCTAATATATACAACATACATTCTCTTCTTTCGTTTATTTTCATATAATTTTTTCTGTTATCGTCAAAATTATACTTGAATATGCATGTCAATGTACTATCTATGTTATTTTTCATTTATCAATACTCGTCATCATAATCACCAACATCGTTATCAATATCTTCCGTTCACATTCATTTGTTTTAATTATTAGTGTTTGAAAATATTCCAATATTATAACTTAACTAGTTGCATGTCAGGATTTATAGATCATAAAACGGTCAGTAAGAATTCTCATATATTCTCTGAGTACTAATCATTCTGGTTGTTAATTTCATCAACGAAAACATATACACATATGAGACAGACCTTATATTATATAATATGAGTAGATCACTATGGTGATTTATAGTAAAGTAACTCAATCTGATAATTCTTGATGTGAGGTATTAAGTATGCATTGCTAGATATTTCCAAGGAGAGATCAAAATAGGGGGCTTTATATCCCTTCGTTTTCAGTGATTCAAAGTTGGTCTTATGATGAAGTGTATGCCTTGAAATCAGATAGATCCATGTAGAGTCAGTGCTTGAACTCAATCAATACTTGAAAACTTAAATGTAATTACAGGTTTGATCATCAGCTGACAGAAGTTGGGGAACCATTGGAAACCAAAGAGCGTAGGTAGCTGTTTTGGCCTTTTGGGGGATTCTTCAGCGCTACATACCCACCAGGGTTTGAATCCTGAGCCTTCAGATTACTGGGCGAGCTCGCACACCATTCAGTCACTGGGATCAGACCCTATTGCTTGTGAATTCTATATTCTGCCAACTTGCGACATGTATATAGGGCAACAGCCAGTCATTGTCGAATAACTATTCTCTTACCTGATTTGGTGGACCTCACTGGTTACGACTTCCCGCTAGAGATCCCTAGTTGTGAACATCAGATTAATTATCGAGTGTTAGTTTGCAGTTTATATATATATAGCCCAAACCAAGTCCACTTTTAACAGTTTGGAAAAATTTGGGCATTAGGTATATGATATTCATTATAATAAAGGTTTTTTTTTTGTAATTCCCAATGAAGGAATGAAAAACAAAACGATATTGTTGTTTTTACTGACATTTCGCTATTTAATGCTGCTGCTAATAGCTTCATCAAAAGTATTATTAAAGCAGAAAATCAACACTGACATTAAGTATGGTCGAAAACGTATTCCGAAAACATGGACCTCAACAGTTGTCATTCCATATAGATCAGAGACGTCAGACGATGTCAGAAGAGTACTCAATAAGCATAACATCAGAGTTTTCTTCAAAATATCAGACACATTGCAAAGCAACCTTGTCCATATAAAAGACCAAATCCCTAAGGATTCTCTATCTAATTGTGTCTATAAAATAAAAATGCTTGGAATGTGATGCGATATACATCGGACAAACATCGCCAGAGAGAAATCAAAATCAGAAGAAATGAACACCGTAGAGCATCTGTTCAACCACCGAGAAATCCAGTTGAACTAGAAAAGCTTGAAAAATCATCGGCCAGCCATAGGGTGTACACACTATAGTATCAGGCCACAAAATTGATTTTACAATATTGAAATAATCAGAAAAATTCAGAATCACAAAGAACGTCTCCATCATCAGAATCACTTCATATCAAATGGAATCCAAATTGTCTGAATAGGAATGATGGACTAGAACAGAATTTGACCTGGTTACAATACCCCCGTCCGCCATGAAATGACAAAATCAACACGAATGTGATAAGCAATCGCATTATGTACTTATGCAATCTAACGATCTACACATGGTTTTGTTACCTTTACCAATTGGCCAACTTGACAACGCAAAAATGACACGATGCTGAGGAACGATGATTAAATTTGTTATATATATAAGCTAAGATTTTGTAAATTCTGGTTTAATAATACTGTGATAAAGCTATTGGCAGCATTGAATAGCGAAACGTTAGCAAAAGCAATATCGTTTTGTCTTTCATTCATTGGGAAATACAAAAAACCTTTATTATGGTTTGCAGTTTGATCAAACCTATAACCCAGTCATATCCCTGCAGACCAGCATTTAATAATTAAATATAAATTACTTCAGGATTCTAAATTTACTCTAACTTTTCAGCTGTTATCAGATAAAAGTAAATTATTCAACTATTATTTCAGAAAAGTAATATAATCAGTTCATCAGAATATTTTTACTTTCGGGATGCATCTGATTACAAAGTGTTAAAACATATTTCTAAATACTTTACATCACGACGTAATATTTCCAACGGTTTCAAAAGTAATATTTCTTCACAAACTGACATAAATTAGGGGACTATTAAGAACTAGAGGGCAGTGGATAGACATTTCGTCCCAGTTTGGGACCCTTCATCAGCACGAATTTATGATGGCGATGGTAGCATATACACAAAATGACAAAGTTTAAAATTTGTGGGTCATTGAATCCAAATGAATGACTGAATGGTTAAGTGCTGCTCCTCTAGTGATCTGAAGGTACTGGGTTTATTTTTCTTGATGAGGACACTGCAGAAGAGTACCACCAAACTATGACAAAACAGAGCTATTCAGTGTCCCCTTGTTTTCAATAATTCTCTAACTGATATTGCTTTGTGATGAAATCTCCAGCTTGGAAACAACGAAATCCTTACAGCCAACATGTGAAGATTTCAAAAGTACATGTGATGCAATCTGATACCAAGTGGTGATAAAACCTGTAATTACATTTAGGTATTCAAAATGTTAACTGAGTTCAACAGATTGAACTACTCAAGTTGGTTGGTGTTCAAGTAGTTCTGCTTCTTTCTCTCTCTTTCTCCCGCTAACCTTAAATTTTCATTCTCAAAGCTTTTTATGTCAATCTAGACATCATCTTTATTGCACTTTACAGGGAAATTAAATTTGCTAAACTCTTTATAAGTGATTATAGAGGTTAGCATTGGTTGACTGAGTCACATGTTTTCTCCCTGATTGATTTGTCAGCATTGAATCCGAAGAAGCATCAAAGATAGGACTTCAGGTGAACATAGAGAAAACAGAGGTGATGAAGATTCATGGACAAGAACAACAACAACAGACAACGATCAGCATAAATGGGAGGAACCTGAAAGAAACAACCTCTTTTACTTACCTGGGAAACATCGTTTCAACTACAGGTTAATGGAACTGACGACGACATCAAAGCAAGAATCGGAAAAGCAAGACAAGCTTTCACTACTCTCAAGTCTGTGTGGAGATCGACAGCACTCAGCATCAAAACGAAGATAAGATCCGGATTTTCAACTCCAATGTGAAGTCAGTGCTACTATACGGATCAGAGACTTGCACTGCGCGTCATAAAGGGCATCTCAAACAAACTACAGACCTTCACCAACAGTTGTCTTCGCTCAATACTCAAGATCAGATGGCCAACCAGAAAAGATCAGCAACAGAGATCTCTAGCAATGAGCAAACCAACCAGTAATCGATTGTGAAACAAATAGGCAGGAAGAAATGGAGATGGATTGGCTGGCCATACTCTGAGGAAACAATGCATCAAGTGACATCACTAGACAAGCCATTGCTCGAGTGGAACCCGACAGAATGGGAAGCGGCGAGTTGGTCGTCAGTGCAAGGGTGGGTGACTTGGAGGAGGTCATGTGAAGAGGAGATGAAAACGTATGGGCAGACATGGAGCCAGGTGAAGACTCTAGCAGAGAACCGAAAGCAATGTAGACGCACGGCTGAAGCCGTATGTTCCTCTAGGAATTAAAGGAAACAATAATAATAATAATAATTTCTTCTAACCTATCTTTTCTTACTTTGTGAACTTTAAAGTTGTGATGTTGATCCCGATATTGTTTTCACTTAAAGAGGAGGAAGATTCCATTTGATTTAACCCCGAAATGACGTTTCTTTACACTGACTAAAAGGTGTCGACTGTCTAGACAACCATTTTACCACCTTATATTATAAGTATAAATCAATACGAATTAAAAATAAGCGATAACAGAAACCCGCTGCACAGGAGGTGGCTCTCATGGTCCCAGTGGATATCGCTTTGGATTTTAAAACGATGGGTACACGGTTCAAGCTTCAGTGGGTACACCATCACTCATTGGGAAATAAAGGCACAACCGGCTGACAAGTCCCAAATAGGCAGAAATACGCATTCTAGATTCCACTGCTAGTCACCATCCACCAAATTACTTCAAACTAAATCCCTACAAAACCAATACTTGAAAATTAATCTGATGCTCACTAGCGACTGGCCCTATTCAGGCAGTGACCTGGGGTTCTAGTGGGAAGCTGTGACCAGTAGGGTACAGCAGGTTGAAGATGAGGCAGTAACTCATCGAAGAAAACATTGCGAAATGTCGCGCTATGTCGTGAATTGGCAAAAGTTAGAATTCATGGGCTGGCAATTGGATCGGGTCCCAGTGGCTCAATGGTCTACGAGCTCGCTAGCCTTGTAACCAGAAGGTCCTGGGTTCGAACCCCGGTGGGTGCGTACTGATGAAGAGTCCCAAACCAGGACGAAACATCTGTCCAGTACTCCCAGCTGGTTTTCCAGTGGTTCTCTAACTGATGTCAGCTCATGATGAAATCATCTATCCAATCAAATATAAATCATTGATTTTACTATTTTAAGGGTTGTTCATGACTGAAAAGATTAGGCAGTCATTGTAGTGGAGTGTAAAAACTCCATACGACAAAAATTTAGATCAGAATTGGATTTGAAGCTTATATTCTCACTGAATACTACCATCAACATTGAGTAAGTATGTACTTACATCACCACACACAAAAATTGCCTGTGTTTTTTTTTTGTTTATTTCAATCATGTAGTCATAGAATTAGATGTCTTTCATAAAATCATCTTTGCATGACATCAATTTCCTCCTTCAAAAGAAAATCATCTCATTTGATTTCTTTCCTATTCAGCATGTTCCTACTTTATGGCTTATTCTTTTAATGTAAGTAGTAAGTACTTCTTCTCTTCTTACTCCTTGTCTGTCTAGGTTGAAGTACATATTTTCAACAATTTAGAACCGAAACCAATCCCACCTAAACACATGGCATTGTATATAGGATTAGCCGTATTCGGTGGTCTATTACTCTTATCCATTCTAGTAATCATTCTTTACAAGGTAAGTCATTTTTTCCTACGTGGATTACTTCATCATTCATTTATTGGTGAAATTATCTGCGGATAGTTTGAATTCTGTAAATTGATATTTATATAATGATTTAGAGACACAAGTATATAGAAAATCAACGCACACAGATCAAATACTCAACTATACTAGCAATAATCCAACTACTCACAAACGAAACTGTGTGCAGACATTGTTTAAAAGAGTTCAAACACACTGTAGCACTCCAGAATTGAAAAGAATGGAAGAAAAGTACCTACAAACGGTCTTCAAAAAGAATGGTTATCCACAAAATTTCATCAAAAAGTGTTTAAAGTCGAATCAAAACACCAACAAAGAACCATCATCAAAGACCACAAGAAAATTCATTCTACCATACATGAGGAATATCTCTGAAATAACAGCTAGAATACTGAAACCGTTTGATATAGATATAGCACACAAGCCAGTCAAATCGCTTAATTCGATATTATGCAAACCAAAAGATCCAACAGAAAAAGGGGATAAAATTAATACCATTTACAAAATAAATTGTATGAACTGCAACAAGCATTACATCGGCCAAAGTGGGCGTCCCCTTCGAATTAGAATCCAAGAACACAAATCAGCCGTGAAAAGACACGATATGTATTCTTTAGTATCAATGCATATAGACAATTATGGTCATCAATTTGATTGGGATAATGTCGAAATCTTAGACAGAGGAAACACCAAAAGTGCAGTCAGGGAATTCCTAGAAGCCTGGTACTCAAACGAAAATGCAATTAACAAACACGTTAATATAGACGAAATATACCAACTAATAAAAAGTAAATCAGGTGACCAGAAAGTTTAAAATCCAAGTCAATAGAAAATGGTCAATACATATGTAAAGATAGTTACCAGGAGACGCAATTATATCACTCATGAAGAAATTTAAATCATTTCACTTTGTGCTAAATATTGCGCTGAAAGGGGATGTTGTCCAGAAGGACGACGAAAGCTTCGCAACTAAACCAACCAGCTCAGAGAACACTATTAATCGCAAATCATCCACCTGAGCTACAAATCTTCTCTATTATTTCATAATGACAAACTGACATAGGATAAGGTTTGAGAAGGTTTAGGAGTGGTCAGATCTGGCGTGAATCCACAGAATCCTCGATAATTGGTTTGATCTAGCCACTTAGGGATGTGTAGACCTCCTGGTTGGAGTCCTTGGGATGCTAAGAACCAGTGGCTGCAGACTATTGGTATATATGTGACTTAAAGTCATGTTTTACCACTTCAGTATTCTTTCTTCCATGTATTTCTGCTCATTATATTTATTTAGAATATTTTTTTTCCTTTTCTCTACGTTGTGTGCTATACGGAGATGTATGGTAACTTAAACTGGTGCACTTTTGTGCAAAGTTCTATATTGAAATTCAGTCATTTAAGGTGTAAGGATTTCATCATGAGCTGACAGCAGTTAGAGAACCATTGGAAAACTAGCAATTAATACCGAACAGCTATTTTGTCCTAGTTCGGGACTCTTCACCAGTACGCACCCACCGCCAGAGCTCGAACCCAGGACCTTCTGGTTACAAGGCGAGCTAGCTCGTAGACCAATAAGCCACTGGGACCCAATCCCATGGCCAGTTCATGAATTCCAACTTCTGTCAATTCACGATATAGCGTGACCACTAGCCAATGTCATTCGTGGCGAGTATATGTCCTCACACCCAATCTGCTGGCTAGTGGTGGTCGCCCTATATCGTGAATTGACAGAAGTTGGAATTCATGAACTGGCCAGTGGCTTATTGGTCTACGAGCTAGCTCGCCTTGTAACCAGGAGGTCTAGGGTTCGAACCCTGGTTGTGGGTGCGTACTACTGAAGAGTCTTAAGTGAGGGGGACGAAACAGTTGTCCAGTACTCCCTGCAGGTTTTCCAATGGTTCTTCTAACCGGTGTAAGCTCACGATAAAATCCTGAAACCAATCAAATTCCTGCAAATCAACATTTGAGTTAGGTTCAAGTTGAAATTGAAACTTAAATAACTTGACATTTCGAAACAGCAATCTTCAGGCTGTCTTTCTGACTGTCTTCTCATTTAGCTACGAGACCAGATGGCTGACGGTTTAAGTTATGTCGCTTGGTTATTCAAATACATTCGAATACACATGTGCACACATTCTAGTTCCCTCATCATTCTGTGTATATTTGAATGACTTAGCAGCATATCTTATACCGTCCACTGACGTGTTTCTTAAATAGGCTTTAATTGCCCTTCAATCACTAAAGGTTTTCAAGTGTTGGTTTGTAGGGATTTGGTTGGTTACAGGATTTTCATCATGAGCTGACATCAGTTAGAGAACCATTGGAAAACCTGCAGGGAGTACTGGACAGATGTTTCGTCCTAGTTTGGGACTCTTCATCAGTACGCATCCACCGGGATTCAAACCCAGGACCTTCTGGTTACAAGGCAAGCTCGTATACCATTAAGAAATATCGAACCCAGGACCTTCTGGCTTAATGGTATACGAGCTCGCTTTGTAACCAGAAAGTCCTGGGTTCGAATCCTGGTGGGTGCGTACTGCTGGAGAGTCCCAAACTAGGACGAAACAGCTGTCCAGTACTCCCAGGTTTTCCAATGGTTCTCTGACTGATGTCAGCTCATGATGAAAATCCTGTAACTAAAGGTTTTACTCAGTTGTTAAATAAACACACAATACATTAATGTTCAGTATCACTACACCAGCTGTCATGCGAGGTGTCTCTTCATCCCGATTCTAAGTATACAGAAGTGGAGAAAGGCGAAGATAGTGAACAGCTGTAGATTTGACTGTCAAAGATAGTCTGAGGTAAATATTAGAATTTACTTAGTTGAATAATGCCTAGAGGTGAAATGAAATCCGTTTAGGCAGTTCATTCTGCTGTAAATAGAGCGTTTTAGTTAACAAGCTAACGCTTAGTGAATATAAAGAGGCAGAGAAATGCCTATGCATAAGAAACTTGTTCAAATCAAAGCAAGTACATATCATCAGTCCACTGAAGAAGATGGTGTGATTAACAATTCAACACATTGAACTGCTGAATAAACTGGAGCACAGAGCTGATGGAGGGTGCCTCCAAATGAAGGTCTGGATTTGGAGACTGTCGCTATGCTACGCTATCTGACCAATGTACTCCACTCTCGGATATATGTGACTTTCAGCCTCCCTTATGAGTCAGTATTATCGGGTCTCGGTCGGTCGGTTTTCGACATAGAACTTTGCACATATGTGCGGCAGTTCAAGTCGCCATACTCCATCCATGTAGCACACAAAGGAAGAGAAGAAAGTAGGAGAAATGCATATTAGAGACAGTAAACAGAGGTGTGAGACAAAGGTATAGTAATAACGAAGAACAAAACAGTTTCATTGGAAATCATAAGTCACAAGGAGTGGATGCATCTGCGCTAGCCATTGAGAACGATTTTGAGCCATGTCACCACTTGTTTCCAACCATTGGTTTTTACCGTCCCGAGGACCCCAACCAGTGAGGAAGTCTACACCTTCCTACGTGGCTTAGATTAACTGTTATGGATTTCATTGACTGGTGCAGCCATGTTTTGGTTTGACCGCCGCTAGCTCTTTTCCAGCCTGACCCTTTATCAGCTAACATTGCCTATCGAGGAAGGAGACAGTTTTATCGGGTCTATTTATAGTAGGAGGGAAATAATATAAGTAACTTTGTCTATCAATTTACTTATTTGTAGTCAAAGTCTTATAAGCAGCCCACAGATGAATCGAAATATTCATACTAACTAATTATTATTATAAGAGTTTAAGCAGGAACCCTATCCCTCGTTTACTTTATTTCAGACAAGTGACATTACCGTCCAATTTCTGACCACTTGGATATATGTAGTGAAATTTTAAAGTTGCCATGAATAACTTCCAGTTTCTAGTTTCATTACATAATGTACTTCTTATGAAAATACAAAGTTAACTAAACAGTTTTTTTCAAGTATTGGTTTTTGGAGGGAATTTTGTTTGATTGGTTGGAGGATTTCATCATGAGCTGACATCAATGAATTCTAACTTCATGGACCATTGGATCGGATCCCAGTGGCTTAATGGTCTACGAGCTCGACTTGCAACCAGAAGGTCCTGGATTCGAACTCCGGTGGGTGAATACTGATGAAGAGTCTCAAACTAGGACGAAACATTTGTCCAGTACTCCCTGCAGGTTTTCCAATGGTTCTCTAACTGCTGTCGGCTCATGATGAAATCCTCCAACTAAGCAGTTTTTTGTTGACATATGATTCTTGGACAACTCAAACTGACTTTGTTTGAAATATGTCAACTTGACAAAAATACATTTTCCTTTCTATTATTATTCTAGGCTGGTTTCTTCAAACGAAAACGTTTCCTCAGAAGACGAACAAAAACACCCACTTCAGATCCAACACAAAGACTTGGTCAGTATGTTTCAGCAGAACCTAATCAAAAACAATCCTTAATATCACCGAATCAATCAGGTTATCATGACAGTAAGAAAAGTAAATCCGGAGGACGTTATCACCAAGTGCCAATGAATTCACAAGAACCAAGCTATCGTCGAACACCATATTCACCTTCATCGGGTTTTCCAGTTTCACATACACGATAATACATAGATTTTATCCTATTTTATTTTATTTTATTTTGTGCTCACTAAATGCTCTAAACAAATTCCAGTGACAAGCATAACAAAATCGATACACATTTTGTTGTATATTTCCTACCACTCCTCCTCCTACTACTGATGATGATGACGATATCCACACACTGCTGTTATCCTATAGTTGAGTGAGGCCTTCTTCTCTAATATTTTCTACAGAATCTTTTTCTACTTGTGTTTGTATTTTTGTGTGTGTGTGTTTGTGTGTTCGTTTATTTTTGCTTCACTTAATCCAACAACTGCCTCCCTCCCTCCCTCCTTCCCTGCCTGCCTGCGTGCCTGACCGCCCGCCAGCCAGCCAGCCTGCCCGCCTGCATATACTTGTGTTAACCCAACCAATAAACCAACGAAATAATTAACTCCAATCCCAGAGATATTATTATTGCCCTTTTCTACTGCCTTTATATATAATATGCAAAAGTATTGACATAGTTATTAAATAATATTAAGTATTGAAGAATAAAAAACATGTACCATATCATTATCACTACAACAGCACACAAAACAGCTGAAACAACAACGACACTACTATTACTACTGATTACTACTGATAATACTACTAATAATGACGATAGTAATATAACCGACGCAGTGTACAAATATGCAAACACACTAACTAACTATTCTAGAATTTATTGTTTAGCTTGATTTCTTTTCTTCATGTTTTTTTTATTTACTAAGACTACACTTTTTGACGAAATTTAAAATGAAAATTGGTTGTGTATATTTTCTAAATTAAAAAAAGTGAAAATATATATATCAATGATGAAACAGCCACAAGCTCAAATGTATGAAATAATCTATACTTGTGAACTATACTCAACAATACTAACCAATTTTTTTTCATATTTGACAGTATTCAGATTTGTTCTGTGTTTGTTTGATTTTGGTTAATACTTCATATATAAGTTATTGTACCAAGTTAGACAAATGTAAAGAATAATAGATATTGATGCTAGTTAAAATCAGTACGCTGTATATCATCAAGGAAGTAATGGAAGGCGGACAGCGAGGCGGAAACACAGTCAACAATTGTAGGATGTCATAATACCAAAGATAAAGTGTTTCATTAAATACATACATATATATGCGCTTTCATTGGACACTAGTAACTAGAGTGATGTGTCTGGTCCTTCACTTAGTGCAGACTGAATTCTATCAGTCAGGTTTGCAGCAATGTGGCCACCATTCTAGGTAGCTCGCCATCACGGTGATGCGAGTTCGAATCTCAGAAGGGACATGAGTTCCTTGAAGATTGCAGATACACCTTGCTGACTGACTTGTGAGTTCCAACTAGCATCAAACCTAGGTCCAAGGCTTCCTACCAATTGCCTCCAACCATCTAACATATATATATGTATATGCTTCCACTAACTTTGAGGTATCGTTTCTCTCTCTCTCTCTGGATTCAACATAGAACTTGGCACCGAAGTGCAGCAGTTCCAGTTGCCACGTTCCAAATAGCACACAAAGGTAGACAAGAAGATGAGTGAAGAGAACCAATAGAGTTTTGACAAGTATAAGAGTGAAACAGAGTGAGTAATGGTAGAAAGGAATATGAAAGATTACAGAGACTGAATACATCTGCGTAAACCATTGACAACGATTTTGAGCCATGTCACCTATTGTCTCCAGTCATTGATTCTTAGAGTCCCGAGGGCGCCAACCCGCAAGTCTGCATCTCCCTACCTGACTCAGTTTAACTGTCAGGGATTTCATGGATGGATGCCATGTTTTTGTTTGGCCACCACTTAATCGTTTCAAATTACCAAATATGACTGTCTCCTCGGTAACAGCCACAAGGCCTACCTTCAGAGATGAAATGATGTTATTATATTTGACTAAGCTTTTTTCCAACCTATAACTAACAGAATTGTTGGTCGCCGAAAAATAAATCACGCGTAAGTAGGCTGTCTAAACACATTCAACAAGTTTTACTTCTGGTATTATATGGTTGGAGGCAATCGGCAGGAAGATAGGACTAGACACGTTAAACCAGTTACTGACTGGTGTCCAATCACAAAAAGTTTTACTTCTTACAGCAATGTACCACAGCAGTTACCTTCGTAGAGTTAATCTCTTGTTGAAATAGCTATAGAGAAATAGTCAGAAACACTGTATAATATCCATAATTAACTAATATACCTGCATAAGTTTATTGTGAGACGAAAAAAAAAAGAATAAATGAGACGTGTATTTGTTCTAGAAAACTGTTGCACAATTCTCAGCGCAGATGAAGCAGTACCTAGCGGTGGCAGTTACACCAACTAAATTGTATTTTCTCATCATGATAAGCCTTTTTGACACGAATGTTAAGTCTTAGCTGTCTTCACTTAATAGTGAACTGTGGAAAATACCCACACAGACAAAAGCTCTTCACCACTACATCTCTAGTATCCTGATACGCGTATTTCTTACAATTTGAAAAAGTGTAAGTACTCCCCCTTGACAATAATGAAGAAGCTCAATGTGAGCTTTTGCTGCACACTTTATTAAACTTGCCGAAGTGAATATGAAAGTTCACTTCTTCGAAGACGGTACATTAAGGATTGTGAATATTTCTCAAAGTGGTTTTGGAAAACACCCTCGTAGATTATTGTATACATTCCGATTCAAAAACTCACTAATAGTGGACATCGGTTATTGTTATTCGAAAACGTCTTCATCCGTAACTATTCTGTGTTGTGTAGATACTAGAAATAACCTACATTTACTTAGGTATGCTTTTTAATATAAACTTATAATCTACTATTATTATTTATTATTATTGTTTCCTTTACTTCCTACAGGAACATAGGGCTTCAGCCGTATGTCTCCACTGCGTTCGGTTCTCTGCTAGAGTTTTCACCTGGCTCCAAGTCTGCCCACACGCTTTCATCTCCTCTTCACATGACCTCCTCCAAGTCACCCTTCCACTGACGACCAACTCGCCGCTTCCCTTTCGGGTTCCACTCGAGCAATGGCTTGTCTAGTGCACTTGATTTGTTTCCTCAGAGTATGGCCAAATCCATCTCCATTTCTTCCTGCCTATTTGTTTCACAATCGGTTCCTGGTTGGTTCGCTCATCCAGAGATCTCTGTTGCTGATCATTTCTGGCCATCTGATCTTGAGTATTGAGCGAAGACAACTGTTAATGAAGGTCTGTAATTTGTTTGAGATGCTCTTTATGACGCGTTGGCCAAGTCTCTGATCCGTATAGTAGCACTGACTTCACATTGGAGTTGAAAATCCGGATCTTATTTTTGATGCTGAGTGCTGTTGACCTCCACACAGACTTGAGAGTAATGAAAGCTTGTCTTGCTTTCCCGATTCTTGCTTTGATATCCTCGTCAGTTCCGCCTGTAGTTGAAACGATGCTTCCCAGGTCGGTAGATGAAGGAGGTTGTTTCTTTCAGGTTCCTCCCATTTATGCTGATTGTTGTCTGTTGTTGTTGTTGCTGGTGTGATGGTGTTGCCCAGGAATCTTCATCACCTCTGTTTTCTCTATGTTCACCTGAAGTCCTATCTTCTGGATGCTTCTTCTGCCAACTTGTTGCCTTTCGCTTGCATATCTTCCAGTTTGTGGGAAATCAGACATATATCATCATCGGCGAAGTCCAGATCCTCCAAGTTTTTTGTGTGAGTCCATTTTATGCCTGTTTCCTCATTGCCCACTGTTTGTCGCATTATCCAGTCTACTGCAATCAGGAAAATCACTGGCGATAGTAGGCAGCCTTGTCTTACTCCTGTCCTCACTCCGAAGGATTCCGTAAGTTTCCCGTTGTGGATTACTTGGCATGCAGCATTGTCGTACAGCTGTTGGATGAGATGTATAATTGTCGATGGCACTTCGTAGTAGCGAAGTAGTTGCCAAATCACCTCTCGATCGACGCTGTCTGCTGAAGGCCTTTTCAAAGTCGATGAAGTTGAGATAGAGAGGTGACTGCCATTCCAAGCTTTGTTCAATGATGATCCGTAATGTGGCAATTTGATCAATACATGACTTGTTTCTCCTGAATCCAGCGTGTTCCGGTCGAAGTTTTTCATCCAGGGCATGTTTGATTCTCTCCAGGATGATGCGGCTTAGTATTTTGCTTGGGATGGACAGGAGCATAATTCCGCGCCAGTTCTTGCATTGACTTAGGTCTCCTTTCTTTGGTAGTTTGAATAAGTATCCTTTCTTCCAATCCTCGGGTACTTTGCCTTCTTTCCACACCTTCTCCAGTAGTGGCGTCATCAAGTCCGCTGTTGTCTCCGGGTCCATTTTCAATGCTTCTGCTGGGATTCCATCTGGTCCTGCTGCCTATCCAGCTTTTAGCATCTTGATTGCCTTCAGGACTTCTGATTTCGTCGGGGGGTTGGTGTTCACTGGTAGCTCTGTCTCTGTTGTTGGTATTTTTGGGCGCGTTGTAGGTGGTGGTCGATTTAGAAGTCTTTTGAAGTGTTCAGCCAATATTGTTGACTACAGCCGCTGTAGCCGATTATATATAGAAAGAAGGCGATTGTTATTGTAACAGTGTATTCAAATAAATTCTGACAGTTTAGTATCAGTCAACCGTAGTATTTACAAGAATAACCAACCGAATCAAAACGACTCACTTCTTTTCGATTTTCTGAAGAGTGTGAGATTATTTTTTTAATTATTTCAAAAAGAACATTCAGATATGACTTTATCTGCTGGATGACTGAGTCGGAATGACAATAAGGCTTAAGAGTATGTCGCGTGTTTACTGCGTCCAGAACAAGCTGGATTCAGGATAGGCAAACCATGTGCCGACCTAATTGCAACTCTAAGCATCATCATCATCAAAGAACAAAGCATAGAATGGCACTCACACCATGGAATGCAATGCGCAAATCTTAATCAACTTCATCCAACAGCTTTGCGACAGTGCTACTTGTCAAGTGGCCCACAACAGAAAACTCAGCAAGGCGTTCGAAGTGAATACAAGAATCACACAAGGCTACTTGCCTATTATCACCAATGATATTCTTAATTGTGGTGGACGTCGATTGTGCGTCAAACTGTGAATGGGTAC